CCCCAAAACCCCAAAACCCCAAAACCCCAAAACCCCGAAATATTATAAAATAATTGAAATTTAATTACAATGAAAAGACTCTCAAATTTTTTCTTTAAAAAGCTTGAGGCTACATCGTTGGATAAAACAAGCAGAGTTGTGAGTAAGATCCATACTTGTACAATCCATGATCAAAGTGCTGGCTCAAAGATCCTTCAGAACATCAAGGCATTAGAATATTGAATCACTTGAAATATTGGGATGTGATATACATGTTCAAACGAGCACTTTGATGAAAATCATCAAGTTGACTGGGGATACGATATTTTTAAGTACCTTGAATCTCCAGTTAACAGTGACAATGAACACTTTAATGAGGGATGCCAGACTACCTTTGATTTGGATGATCTCAAGTGACCATGTGGAAGGAAAATTAAAGATTCACAGTTTTCCACAATGTGAGCCGCTTGTGGATCATGGACCTGATCTGCTCAATGCCATGAAGACTTCATTCAAAGCAAAGGGAAATGCCTCTTCATAAGAAATTTCCTTGAAAATGAGGAGACTGCAAGCATTCAGGGAATGAGAAATATTATGTATATTAATATTGAAGCTATGCATAGAGATGATCTTCCTCAGTACATGCCATGCACAAGAGTTTCTCCTAAATTCATGAAGGCAATGCTTGGACCAAAGAAAGGAACTGTTACAGTTCAAAGAGGGTTTAGACAATATGGTCAACCCGTACAGGAAACTCTTGATGCAATTGTTGACATTGTTGATGACACTGAAAATGATCCCTACTTCGATCATCATAAAGAAAGACTTTGACAATGTACTTGTGAATATTGCGCAGAAGCATCTCCTCATCCAGTACATAATTGAGCTTACCTTTGAAGAAAGCTGGAAAAGATTGACCTAAAGATGGAGAAAGAGCTAGGCCTTGACCAAATCTGCCAATGCATATGCAGTAATTGATTTGGAATGCCAACCCATGCAAGAATAGATTGTATTTACCATTGCAACTCCTCTAAATTTAGACACAGATTTGAATAACATGTGGCTTTCAATATTAGTTGACATTTTCGGGGTTTTGGGGTTTTGGGGTTTTGGGGTTTTGGGGTGTTGGGGTTTTGGGG